ATATATCTAAACGGTCATGTTCATTAAGTTTTACTTCAATCTTTCAAATTTAAATCTTATAAAATTTATATGTTAATGTTCAATGCATCAATTTTGAAATTTTTTATGTGAACTTTTGTCTTGTGGAACTCAAAAAAAATTTCAAAATTCCTTTATTTTTATAATCATTTCAATCAATTATCCAACTATTATATTGTTTTTTCAATTTGCTAAACAAAATTTCAACCGTAACATGACTTAAAGTTGCTTATTGCTAATAAACGGTGACCAAACTCCATGAGCAATATTCAAAAACTCTATATTTTTGGAATGTTTTACATCTGTCCAGAAAAGAGAAAGAGTCAGTAACTTTTATTTGTGTCTGATATCTCAGGAGACCTAACCTGTTGTTACTCTATTAAAGTATAGTGATTTATTCCTTGCCTTTGAGCATTCCTTTCACATGGTCCACACGCGAATTGATATCACAAGTAAGAAGGATGTCTAGCAGGTTCGGAGCATCGACAATACATTTATACTTTCTGATGAACAGAGAAGCAGGTCCGGTTGTGCTCCCGCTGCCACGTTTGGCACCCTGAGTTTGTTTGGAACCCTACAGCGAGCATCTGGAGGTTTTAGATATATATATCTTTTCAAACCTGTAGAGCCTCTGCCACGACCATACTTGAACAGGACCTATACGCATCTGTAGTAAGTACGCATAAATTTCTCCTGCAAATATCAGAGATTGTAAAATTAAGCAAGTTTTGAATATTGTTGTTTGGAAATTTATTTTTTTATTGATGTTTTCTCATTTGGTATTAAGAGTTTGTAGTAGTAAAAAAAATAAGCCGTTATGCACCATATTGCATACGTTTTCAGACCATATAGGGCAATAAAAACTTAAAATCCGTCTAAAGTTTTCAGTAATCCACTTTCGGATTTATTGACTTAAGTGCGTATGTCAAAACAACACCTTGTGCAATCCTCATCACGTTGTGATTGATTTAGTCAAAATTTATAAATTTAGTTCAAAACTTTTTGTTTTGGCGATGGCGGAATGAGACAAATGGCCCTACGAATGCTATTAATCTAAATATAAAGCATTTCTTCAAAATGAATATAACATCAAGAAGTATTGAAAAATAGTCTCTCTAGGTTCATGAGATATTAAATCATATCTTTTTAAGGTTAGTGTATGCTTGTCTCGAACATTTTTTACAGCTGTTCCACTAACATTTTTGTTGCGAGCTAGAGAACTTTTATTGGAAACACATATGCTTCCACTAAAAGTAAGTAGTTGTGTTGTTCAACTTACATTACATAGGTAAGATTCATTTTGTAGTTTAGTTTTGGTTCTTCGACATTATAATCGAATCAAAATCTTAAGACGTGATTCACCTCAAAAAATTGTATTTTAATAATTTTGAAGATATGTCTGTAAAATCTGCGTTGTTCTTACGATTTTGAACTCAGACGCATCTTTGTAGATTATATATGAATCTCTCAAAAACTTACTAGTTATTTTTGGTAGGTTTTTCCTTGTGACTCGTCGAAAAAGAGAATAACCTTGATGATCATTAGTTCATCCGAACCGAATACAGGATTATATATGTGAGGGTTAGTTAAGTTAATTGAGATGCAGGTTCTTCTCTCATTTGTGTGGCAATTTTGACAGGTACTCCAATTCTATTAAAAAGTGATTCACCTAATTACTCACTTCCAAGTTAACTACGCATAATACTCCTATAATCAATTTGCATACTTAATCGAGAGATTACTGTACATCTTTATCTATGAACATTATTGCATACAAGTTGCTTAACTCTCGAAGAATCAAACTTTTTGACACTTTTTGGTATCAAACAGGTTTTATTTTACTCAATGGGCCATATGTAACCCAAAGTTAGCAATATTCCAATGAAAGTTCTTATAACCCGCTAATATGCTCTATAATGTAGGGAGTGTCTGCCACTGTTGGGCTAGAATATTTTGGCGACTCGTTCATAGTTATGTATGAGAAAGCTACAGGTATCACCGTGGCTTCATGTTCCTACCCGAATAACCCCAACTCTTATTGTAACATACCTGACAGTGTGACGCAATGCCGTCAATAAAGTCATATATGGTAAAATAAAATCTGTTGGGTCCCATCAAGTAATTTTCTTCCCGTCAGATGGTGGCGAATATCACTGGCCGGACTAGCCGTGACATTGGGCTCGGCTCAGCCTCATGAACGTCCCACCTCGCTCATTCCGTATGCAATGAAGACATCAAAGTGATCTAACGGGTTGGTTTCTATCTGCTTCCTTTTTCTTCACGAATTGGGAGATTGCCTTCAAGGGCGGGCATGTGAAAACTTTCTTTCGTGGACTCCTGTCATGTTGCTCAAGACGACCAAACGAGAACATTTATTCCTTCGGGAAGATGCAAGTTGTGTAAGCATCTTATTATGAGGCTTTACTGACTATTGATTTGAAAAATCGAACATTCAGTAGACTTACACCCATGGTTTGACGATGACAATATCAAATGGGAAACTAATGATATAAAAGACTCATTCCTTACCGTAATCCTTCTCAAATTGTTTCTTGGTCATGTTGAAGAGTGTCTTTATAAAGTTTGTATAGTAATAAAACTTTATTTATTAACTGGAAGGAACAAGTGAGGTCAGTAGGGAGATATTTTACTAGCAGACTCCTGTTCAGGTGATAGCAAAATAAGTTGAAACCGTGTAACAACAACTCCCTTTCTTAAACCCTGACATTAGACTCTAAAGTCATCTTCTTGCATGTGACTCAGGATGTGGGCTCAAATCAGTTTACCATATCCGCTTGGAATCTCTTTTATTGGAGACTATCAAACATGTTTCCATTTCAACAGGAAGATGAGACATTCTCATTTTGCAACAATGTTACTGCTATGTTAACTTTAAATTGAATCAATTTCAATTTGTGATAACCATAGTTAGGAAAATTAATTGTGGTTGGTTAAGATGTACATCTTATCTTTTCTTGTATAAAAAAGAGAATTAGCCATTCACTCTCAGACTTGCACTTTGAGAGTGAGCAAGAAGGAGTAGAGCTTCGGCTATGAAGTCCTTGTATACACTTGTTCTTTAGTGAAATTTCTATTCTTGCCCCTAGACTTAGCCTGTACAAGTTGTGACTGTCGTGTGTGTTTATCGATCTCGAAGGGGTGACTTTTAGATACTGCATAAACTTTATATCTTTCAAGAGTATTTATTTTCGTACCGTGACCAGGAAGGTGAGAGTGAAGATTTATGAGATCATCTCTATATTCATCTCTGGTGTTTAATAGTGTGTAACTATCTGAAGGAGGAAACCGAGGCATACACAAGACCTGAGAAGTACGTAGGTACGATTTATTTGGGGATGGAGTATAGCCTATACTCCATCCCATATGCCCTGTATTGTACACGGTATATGGATAACCTCTGATTAAAAAAGTATACAAAGTAACGAGCCATTGAGTAAAAATTAAATTTTAGTCATCTCGATTAGGCTACCTCGTTCTTAATGCGATGAAAACCAACATCTGCTTAAGCAGTTGGATCTATGGGGAGAGCTGTTCGGTCCAGCCCCTTCTATTCCATGCCGAGTGCAAATCCTCCTTCCATGAATGCAGTTGCCGACGATGCCGTGTGCGCTACCAACTTATCGAGACTTTTACAGTGTCAAGGCAGTTAACTCCTGAAATAAGTGAGCAGCTGCACTCAATAGATCTCAGTTCGCTATTGATTGGCACCAATTTCTTCGATATTACCTCTCTCGATAAGTATGTAGTTAAGAAAAGCATGTTGTTTCACGCCTTCTCGGTTTGACTCTTACTCTCGAAACCGGGCATCCATTACTTAAACTTCTGGAAGCAATGACATTCAATAATATAATAATTTTAATATAATAACATGTTTTAGAACTTACAGAGACAATGTTCCATAGGTAGCATCCCTTCGGATAGAAACTTGATGGATACCATCAGATAAATAACTTTGTTTCTCCGGACTATTTTTCAATCAATGTGTTCTGTTACCTATGGAGTTGTAGGATTACATATCCAACTGCTTATTCTAACTGCACTATTGCGTTCTTTGCGTTAGCCAAACTGACATAGGGAGATATGACGATAAAAAGTATACCCTCCCAGTGTACTGTGTCGAGGCATCGATCAGTACCACCGCAGATTAACTCAGACTATTAACCGGGTAACTCGAACATTGCAGCAGGACGAGGAATGTGGAAGTTGAGGATCTTCCGGCTGTGTTCTCATGGAGATCAGTGAGGCGAATAAGTTGGATGTATATACAAGTGGCACGATCATCGTAATAATGAAGTGTCGTAAGGACATGACAAATCCAACGGTTTCTCACACACTACACACACGGACGATTTAGTTAGGGGGGGGACTTTCGGTGACACGGAACTAGAATCCAAACATCTGACAGCCAACTGGGAGGCGTCTGAGTTTGACGCCTTGCGAGTGATGGAATCAGTAAGAGTGATGCGGAAGCATGAGATTTGCTTCGTACTTGAGAACGGGAAAAGCTGAGTTGAGAGACACTGCGCTGACTGTCAAGTAGCCTGACACTCCTCTGAAGGAGCCCGTGCCAGAGCTGATGGCCTCCTCCCAAGACGGCGCGGTGAAGTCGATCCTGGCAGAGCCTGACATGGTTCCGGAGTAGCCGTGAATCGTGATGTCCAGCGCGAAAGAAATGAACTTCTTGCTTGGATCGTTGAGTGAGACTAAAACGCCGGATTGGTGCCCGATCTGAGCTGAAGCATTGGAAGCTGTCTTTCTGATAACGCTGTCGAAGACGATGATATCGCCGAGTTGAAATGGGCCCGTGAGAGTGGCGTTGGCGCCGGCCACTGCTACAGCCGTAACATTGGGCGGCACGAAGTCGTCGTGTAGGTAGTACGTGAAATTCACGGCCTTCATCTTCATCTTCATGGCGCTCGCAGGGGTCCACAGTCCTGAGGAAAGGATACACAGGGCACAGAGAAACACGCCCAGAGTCCACGTCCCATTAGTTCTGTCCATGCTGTGGCTGTGAATTCGGAGTTCGAGAAGTCGCTAGTTTCAGAAAAAGAGGGTGAGTGATCAGCTACTCAAGATATCGCTTCTAGGAGTCTGTCAATAGATGGCCTTTGTCCAGGCGAATGCGGATGATCCCGAGCGCTCAAAAGTGGTTCTAGCGTCAAGGAGATCGAAAAGAGTGATCCATGCTCACAACTGCAACACATGCTTGCTTATATAAGGTCGTACACGTGAGGAGTTGCGGATCTTTTTATCTTTTCAATTTCAAGATCTGGATCCCGCAGCCACGTCCATGGCCCACAGCGTCATTGCAGGCGCTCGATGGCCGGTCCCCGGTCCGAAGGAAGTCGCAGAATAGGCCAAAGAGACCGGATCTCTTAGAAAGACCTCCAGAACTTCGGCAATGTTGCGCTGCCTGAAGTGTAGGAGATCGTGAAGGAATCCCATCATAGCCTCAGCCTTTGCTCTTTGCTCTTGGTTAGCGTCGCGTCTGATTCTGCGATATGGCGTGAGTGAGAAGGGTCAAAGCAGCCTGTGAAGCCATTTCGTCGAGTTTGCGATTATTACTAGGGCTCCGATCTGGTGGGGTTCGGGTCGGGGTTGACCTTCAACCCGAACCAGACACGAAAAACCGGGTAGGATTCGGGTTCTACCCAAACTGTCAATTTTTCGAGGAGTGAGGACAAATAGAATAGGTAGCGCAGCGCGGCCAGCTAGACGCAGAAGCGAGCGAGGAAGAGGCGGGACGAGGAGCAGAGTTTCGCGAAACGGAGTGGAACCCAATGCAGACGAAGACGGACCAGCTGGGCTTGCAGCCGAGCTCTTATCTCACATTGCTTTACTCAATTCAGCATAATCACTTCGGATATCTCCCGTTGGTGTCATCAGCAACCTTCAACTATTTACAGAACGATACGCTACCTCCACTTGAAAAAGATTCGCGACGATGGATTCAGGGTCTCTTCACTTCGGCGAATCACCCGATCGCAGCCTCTAACCTATGTTGGAATCACTGATTTGTGATAAGTCAGATTGTTTTGATCAGTAAGAAGTCTTGTACATATAGTGTATTAGTCTAGAACGTAATCTATAACGGTAGTGTAATGGATAATTGATCATCTGAGTCCACTACTTTGGACATTGATATAGGTGTCAAGTCTTGTGTAATATTAGCACTCTAATCGTAACTTTCGAATCTAACTTATTTTAACACCCTCCCTTGCTCTAGAGTGCATACCGTAGATCTAAAAAACTACTTCTCTACATCTAATTCTTCATCATCTAATTGTCGCAAAAGATTCTTCAATTGGTGTTGTCAAGTCTTGTGTAATATTAGCGGTAGTGTAATGGATAACTGATCATCTGAGTCCACTACTTTGGACATTGATATAGGTGTCAAGTCTTGTGTAATATTAGCACTCTAATCGTAACTTTCGAATCTAACTTATTTTAACACCCTCCCTTGCTCTAGAGTGCATACCGTAGATCTAAAAAACTACTTCTCTACATCTAATTCTTCATCATCTAATTGTCGCAAAAGATTCTTCAATTGGTGTTGATAGACTTCGTAGATCAAGATAATGTCTATGCTGATTAAACTTCAGCCTAGGAAGAGCCTTGGTCAGCATATCTGCTGGCTGTAATTTGGTGGAGAGAAATTGAACTTCAATCTCGTTCAAAGCTACGCGCTCCCTGATGAAATGATGCTGGATACTAATGTGCTTACTTCTTGCATGAAAAAATGGATTCTTAGCATGTTTCATAGCACTCTCGTTGTCACAATGAACTATTGTGGAGTTAGTCAGTGAGTTGGGAGTGGGAAGAGAAGAAGTGATATTAATATCCTTGCATGAGAGAGGCGTGGGTCTCAATGTGACTGTAACTGGATTGATCTCATGCAAGAGTTGTCGTAGCCAAACGGCTTCCTGTGCACCAAAGGACAAGGCTTTATATTCACTCTTTGTAGAGGAGAATGAGATGAGATTTTGCTTCTTACAACACCATGATACAGCACCTCCAGCTAGTGTAAAAACGTAAGCACTTGTAGATTTGAATGTGTATTGGCAAGAGCCCCACCTGGCATCTGTGTATCGTTGTAGTTGTAATGGATGACCTCGCTTGAACAATATTCCCTGATCTAAAGTACCCTTGAGGTACTGCAAGGTTTGGAAGCCAATATCAAGATGAGACTCTTGAGATACTGTTATGAACCGTGAGAGTTGTCCCATAGCAAAACAAATATCAAATCTCGAATTAGTAGCAAACATCAATTGGCCAACTAGTTTCATGTAGAACGTAGGATCAACAAAGGGAGTGTTGATATCTTCTGTCAAGTATTTTCCAGCATTGATTGGTAATGTAGATGGCCTACAGTCAAGCATATTCAAATCTTTTAAAACTTTGGTGATATATGACTTCTGATGTAGTAATAATCCTTGTGCTGACCGAAAGAACTCAACTACTAGACTTCTGAATTTCACCTAAATCACTCATTTCATATTGACGCATTAGATCTGACTTAATCTCATAGATTTTTACTTGACTATTTCCTGTTATGTACATATCGTCTACATAGAGCATTAAGATTACTATGAGACAATCCTTCCTTAAAACATAAAGATTAGGATATGAGTGACAATGTGTCCAACCTGCTTCTCTTAAATATAAGTCAATACATTCTACCAAGCCCTTGGGGCTTGTCGTAAGCCGTAAAGCGCTTTATTAAGTTTACATACAAAATCTTCAAAACCTTTCCTAATAAAGCAAGGTGGTTGCTGTACATAGACTTTTTCTGAAATAACACCATTTAAGAAGGCAGTTTTGACATCTAGATGATAGAGTGGCCATCTGCATGCACCAACAATGGCGGACACAGATCTTATCGTAGATCACTTCACGACAGGAGCGAAGGTATCAGTGTAGTGCTTACCTTACTTTTGGTGGGCCACCTTACCTCTCGCTACAAGACGAGACTTAAGACGTGGTGTAGAACCATTATGGCTTTCTTTGACCCTGAACACCCACTTGCATGTTATTGCCTTTGCTCCTTGTGGTAATTTAACCAAGGTCCAGGTACGGTTTTTATGGATGGAGTTCAACTCATCAACCATTAACGCGTGCCACTCAGGAATCTTGATAGCTTTATCAAAGGTGAGATGTTCTCCCATGTAGTCGATAATCTCAACTTCATGACAGTCGAGTGTATTTCCAGGAATTTTGGCACGTGAGTTATAACTCACGTAGTCTTTCCAGTAAGCTGGAGAACGCCTAGAGCGGGAGTGATTGGCCGACTATTTGACATATCTCCTACAATAGTATCAGAAGTAGGTGCAGTACTTCTGTCAGGACTGTCAACAGTAGGAGTTGACTCTTGGAACCATTCAATCTCAAAGGTGGGTTCACCTGGTGGACGTGGATAAGGTGAGGCAAAAGAGTTCAAAGGAGTTGGTGTTGTTTCTAAATCTGACAAACTAGATTCCTGAATGGTCGGAGGTATCACTTGAGTAGATGTAGTCTTAGAAAATGAATGAGATGTATCGTCAGTAGGTAGAGCATTTTCAGTACTGACAGAGCAAGTTCTTGATTTATGTTTTCTATTCTGAGGAAGTAAAATATCTAGATCGTCAACAAGTTCAGGATCGTATCGGGCTGCAAGTCCAAAACCATACTCGTTAAACTTTACATGCCTACAGATATAAACTTTTTTGTTAACAGCATCATAAACACGATAGGCTTTTGACTGAGTGTCATAGCCTATAAAAGTAAGTGGTAGGAATCTAGCAGAAAGTTTGTCGAACCTGGTTGTAAGTAAGACACAAGCTCCACATCCAAAGACTCTAAAGTGCTTGACGTTCGGAATAAGACCTGTCAACCGCTGAAAGGGTATTGATATCTGCATTTCCTTTGTTGACAGTCGGTTTAAAATATAAATAGATGTCCTTGCGGCCTCCTCCTCGAGAGCTTTAGGTAATTGAGCATAAAGTAGTAAACTTCGTGTCATCTCAAGTACAGTCCTATTCTTTCGCTCAGTTACGCCATTTTGATGTGGAGTGTATGCACAAGTTAATGCATATTGAATACCTGAGTTGACGCAGAAGGCATGACAAGTCTTGGAAAGATATTCTTCCCCTCTGTCTGTTCAAAGTGCGGCGATCTTCTGATTGTAACTATTCTCCACCATTAATTTGAATTCCTGAAATTGCTGTAGTGCCTCATCACTCCAGCAATTTCAAGTTACCTGTTAAAATTGTCAGTAAACATCATTATATATCGTTTCTTTGTTAAGGATTCAGAAGGGAGAGTCCCACATAAATTAGAGTGCAACAGCTGTAATGCACAAGTTGTTTGAGTATGAGAGTGTTTGAAAATACAATCTCAACTTTGCTTTGATTTCAGACAAGTAGCACATAGAGATTTAATGTGACGAATCTGAGAAATTCCTACAACCAGTTTCTTAGACGCCATCAAATATAGTTTCTAATAGTTTGCATGACCCATACTACAATGCAAAAGTTCTGCCTGAGAAACTGAATAGGTTTGAAGATCGGATTTAGGCTCTTCTATATTCCAAACTTCATTGGAACGAAGAAGTCTTGTTGGAGAAGACCGTGCTGTGATGGCTTGTGAGAGACCTCCAGGCTTAGTTAACTTGTATAAACTGTTATGTGGATCTCGTTTCCCTGCAATAGTATGCTCCGTGGATTTACTCTATCAAATACATAACAATTCTTGGAGTTAAAAAGTGCTATATGGCCTAGATTAGTCAAACGTCCAACAGACATCAAATTTTTCTTCACACCAGGCACGTAAAAAACATCAAACACTTTCTTCTGATTCAATGTAAGTGAGGTCTTTTCACAAACCGGAAGAACTTGATTGCCTGCAGTTCTCACTGAGATATGGTCAGCCTGATTTTCAAAATTAGAAAGAAGTGAACTATTTCCAGTTAAGTGTGAGGAGGCTCCACTATCAAAAAACCATGATTTTTTTTCTTCTACTTGACTAAAAAATGCAGAAAGTGCATTTGCTGCATCGTTGGCTACTGTATTGTCTACGGCAGGAGTAGCATTGTTATCAAAGAACACAGCATCAGCTTCTTCAAAAGCAACCTTGTGATGGTCATCATGACCATCGAGATAACATTCATGTTGTTTGCCTCTTATTGCTTTGAATTCTTCAGAGTGTTGTAAGAGATCTGAAGTGCTTTGAGCTCTTTCTAAAGTTGGTGCTGACAGCATTCATACGACCAGTGTCTCATTTCTCCGCACTCATTGCAAGTGCCGGATTCCAAGCTCGGAGTAGCAGACGATGAAGAGCTGTTTCTGTTACTATTATAAGATCTTTCCTAAGAATGCCAATGAGGGGTACGAGAGTTAGTGTATTGTAATAACCCACCAAAGGCTAAAACTGCAGTATGGTGGTAAAAAGATCGAACCCACAGGGACAGAGGCAACACACAGAGTAAAAGTGTCACGTTTAACAGACTTTTGTAGAGTTTGAATTCTAGGCGACTGTCACTCCCAGAAATACTGCAGTGCTCGACTCGGAGGCTCAACTCGGAGGAGGATCTCGACTCGGAGGATGCTCGGAGGATGCACGGTACAGCGTGGTCACTCAACACACACACACACACACACCTGAAACTGGCAAAAGCACAACTCGGAGGTCGGTCAGGACCTCCGCTTCGGATTTCAGGAGGAAAGTGTCTCAAAAGTTCACTCAGAGGTTCTGCAGGTAGTGCCTCCCACTCCGGCTTTTACTGCCCTTCCGCCAGGAACTAGCGTAGGGTACCCGGACTGGACTTCCCACTTCGGAACGAAGCCTCTTCATACGCCGTGGACGTCACCCTCGACTATCACACCAAACGCAGGGAGTGCAGACCCGACTGAGAACTTACTGAAACACGATCTAGTAACACACACAACCTGAATTACAAACCAAGGCTTACACGAAGTAATAAAACTTCACATTGGCATTCAGGGGAAACTTCCCGTAGGAGTACAATCAGGATACGTCACTCGAAGGAGTAAGGGGGAACTGTTCAAGTATCTAACTCGCAGCCGGCTCTAAGCATCAGAAATCACCCGCAGGTGCAG